CGGGCAGCGGCGCCAGCTCCACCTGCTCGGGGCACCCTGCAGGGAGACAGAGCGGGGGTGTCCGTGAGCCAGACGCCCGGCTCACCCGCCGAAAGCCTCACCCCTCCGTCTCCCCACCACCCAGTCCGACCGCCTCAGCAGACAGGAACGTCAAGAGCCGCCGGAAACGCTGGCGAGAAGGCCCTGAGTGTTTGCGAAGGGGACCAAAGAATTCTCTATGCGCAGAAGCAACAGCTTTTTTGGGGGCCGGGGGACAGATCTCACTCTGTAGCCCAGGCTGGAGGGCAGTGGCACACTCATGGCCACTGCAGCCTCAACCTCCTGGGCTCAGGAGAACCTCCCACCTCAGACTCCCAAGTAGAGGGATTATAGGTGCACACCACCATGCCTGGTAATTTTTGTATTTTTTTTGTAGAGACGAGGGCTTGCTATGTTGCGCAGACTGGTCACCAACTCCTGGGCTCAAGCAATCCTCCTGCCTCGGCCTTCCAAAGGGCTGGGATTTACAGGCATCAGCCACTGCGCCCAGATAGAAGCAGTATCTTAGAGTGAAAAGTGGAAGAGAATTTCGAAGTTCATCACCAGGAGTCTGGTCAAATAAATCCAGCGAGCTTCAGCAGAACAGCCCAGCCCAGCATAGCCCATTAGGCATTATTTTTATTTAATTTATTTACTTATTTTTGAGTCGGAGTTTCACTCTGTCACCCAGGCTGGAGTGCAAATGTTCATTGTGCAGGTACCCTTGTTCTCTACAATAAATCAAAAACTAGCCAGGCGTGGTATCGCGGGCCTGTAGTTCCGGCTACTCCGAAGGCTGAGGCGGAAGGATCGCCGGAGCCCAGCAGGTCGAGGCTGCGGTGGCCGGGAGCGGCCACTGCACTCCAGTCTGGGCGACAGAGTGACTCCAACTCAAAAACAAAATCAAAAAAATTAGCCGGGTGTGGTGGCACGTGCCTATAGTTCCAGCTACTTAGAAGGCACAGGCAGAAGGATCACCTGAGCCCAGTAGGTGGAGGCTGCAGTGGTCGTGAGCATGCTACTACCCTCCAGCCTGAGTGACTGAGATGCCAACTCAAAAAAAAAAAAAAGACACCTCTTTCCCTATCTCCTCTTCTCAGCCTTATTTTAATTATTTTCTTTTTACAAATTTGGCTAGGCACGGTGGCTCACACCTCTAATCCCAGCACTTTGGGAGGCCAAGGCAGGAGGATCTCTTGAGCCCAGGAGTTCGAGACCAGCCTGGGCAACATAGCCAGCCCTCATCTCTATAAAATAATAAAAATTAGCCAAGTGTGGTGGCACACGCCTGAGGTCCCAGGTCCTCGGGAGGCTGAAGCGGGAGGGTCGCCTGAGCCCAGGAGGTTGAGACTGCGGTGAGCCAAGATCATACCACTGCACTCCAACTGAGCGACAGATTGATACCCTGTCTCTATTTTTAAAAACGATGAGAAAACACTTGAGTCCAGCTCTTACCTCGAACCACGTCCTACAAACATGTGGTTGTAGGTACCCTCAAGCCTCAGCCCCCACAGGAAATCCAGCTCAGTCACCTGAACCTAGCTTGAGGGCCAGGAACTGGGGGGAGGGAGTCTGCCCTTACCTCTCCTTGACCCTGATCTTCAGTCCCTTACCAAATCCTGGTCACTCAACTCTTCAAATATTTGTCTGCCCTCCCTTCTTGGACACTGTCACTGCCTTCAACATGGGCAGCCTACACAAGATCCACAGCCAACCACTCTCTGGCTTCCTGTCAGTCCAGCCTTCAGCTATCTAGATCTCTGACCTGCTCACAAATGCTCCATGGCTCCCTTTCACCCTGGTAAGGAGAAAGTCTCAGCTCCTTGATCTGACATTCAAGGCCCTACCAACCTCATCTCACCAGCCACACCACCCTATCTGTGTTCAGCTACTCGTGGCCCCATCAGAATGTTTCCTTCTTCCAAACCTTTACCCAGGCTGTTCCTTTTGTTCAGAATGAGTGTCTTTATGAACTCCTACACATCCTTCAAAACCCAGCTAGAGGTCATCTCCTCTGAGAATTTGGGAATTACATGTCTAACCTTTTTGGCGAAGGCCCAGCCATCCAGGAAGCCTTCCCCATCGGGGGGAGGGCAAGATCAAGCTAGAGTCAGTCTCTGCTAGGGGAGCCCTCCTCACCTTTTACCCTCTTGCCAGCCATTGCCTTCATTTCACAAAAGGGGAAACTAAGGCTAGGTAGGGCACCCACAGTCACAGAGAGAGAATGTGGCAGAGCCAGGACTCAAACCTGGAGTGGTGGGCTCTCAACTATCAGGCAGAGGCTGGGTGTGGTGGCTCATGCCTGTAATCCCAGCACTTTGGGAGGCGAAGCAGGAGGATCCCTTAAGGCCAGGATTTCAAGATCAGCCTGGGCAATATAGTGAGTCCCCAACTCTATTTTTTTTTTCTTTTTTGAGTTGGAGTCTCACTCTGTCACCCAGACTGGAGTGCAGT